GACCCCTTCAAAGGACTCTTGAATCGACCGTCACCTGCAACTCGCCTAGAAATACAAAAACCACCAACAGCACGCACAGAACTGCCTACCAGTGGACACCAATCCTCCGACGAAAGCAGAAATCCTAAATGCGATCAAGCTGTGATGAGAGCTGAATGCAAGCCAAAATTGTGGACAACAATTTACATCAGTGTTACGTCCCGAATCGGGGTCATGAGAAAAAACAATAACAAAGCTTAACCTTGAGGAACTCACCAACCAGTCACAGCAGACTTAACGTGTGCAAGTAGGATTCGCAGATATATGGCTTAATTTTCTAAGAAACGGTCACAAGGAATATAGAATAACCTTCACCAAGAAAACAACCAATCAGAAGACGTTGCTTCTCCGCTGACAATAATGTACATAAAAATCTATAAATATCTCTTGATTTTCTTAATAAACGATCTGTTGCCTGGCCCTTGTCTTCTCTCGTTACAAAGCTACTGGAGTCCAGTCGGCAAAGCAGCAGGACCGGACGGAATTCCCCCACCTCGAAGCATAGAAAACGGACCTAGAGATTGTGGCAGATGTGCTCACGACATTACTGCAAGAGGTTTGGAAAGAAGGAAAGGTACCTACCGATTGGGAGAAAATCTACCTTGTCAAGCTGCCAAAGAAGGGCGAATTACGCCTCACACGACAAGAACTGGCGTAGAATCATGCTCTTGTCCACGCCAAGTAAAATACTAAGTCGCATCATCCTGGGGAGAATAAGGGATGCATTGGATACAGAACTCCGCCAAACAGGACAACTTGGATTCAAGAAATGAAAGTCATATGCTGACCAAATTGTAAATCTACTAATCGTCATCGAACAAAGCATAAAATGACAGTCAAGCCTCTACCTCAACTTCATCGACCTCGAAAAGGCTTTCGACAACGCTAACAGAGAATTAATTTGGAAATTACTTCACCACTACCGTGTGCCGTGCAAGTCTTTATCAACCTCATCCAACAGTTATATGACAGTGGCAACTGTAAGATGATCCTCAATGGAAAACTTAGCGAAGCTATTGAAGTGAATACAGGAGTAAGACAAGGCTGCCTACCTATCGTCACCGAAGATATTCTTAATTGTGGTGGACTGGATTATGAGTCAGATTGCACTTTGGGAGTGGGAAGACAGGGATACGTTAGACCACCGATAAGAAGACTCAAGAAGATCTGGAATTCGCGCACAGATGATTTATTTTTAATTTCACACGAACTTGAAGACATAGTGGCAGGCGAAAACCAAAAAACTGGCTAAAGAAGCAGCGAAGACGGGACTCCAGGTGAACATAGAGAAGACGGAGGTGATGAAGATAACCAACCAACCACCACCACCGCCAACAACAAGCAGCACCAATCACCATCAACGGGAAAGATTTGACATTGGTAACCTCCTTCACTTATCTGGCCAGACAGCATCGTTTCTACCACAGGTACACTGAACGGATGAGGATTTAAAAGCTGGCCAGAATTGGAAAGGCCTTTATCAATCTGAAACCAGTTTGAAAATCTTCTGCACTCAGCATAAGGAACAGGACTCAGATACCGTTCAACACCCCTGTCAAGTCAGTCAGCTCTTCTATATGGGTCAGAAACTTGGCCACCGTGTCACCAAAGGCATTACAACAGCCAATTACAGACTTCTGTCAACATCTGCCACCTTTGCTGCCTCCATGCTGACGATCTGGTGGCTAGCCAGAAAGGATAAGCAACAGGAAACTCTGACTGGGAACAAACCAACAGGTGAAAGCCGATCGCTCAACAAATATGTAGGAGAAAATGGAGATGGATAAGGCATACACTGAGAAGGCCACCGAATGACATCGCAAGCCTGGCCCCTGAGTGGAATCCAAATTTGAAGCAACGAATGAGTCTTCAGTGCGAGGGCAAAATGGAGGAGATCGTGTGGAGAGGAGGCGGAGATGAGAGATTGTGGTCAGTTGTGGACCTAGCTGAAGAGGACGACAGGAAATAGGAGAAAGTGGAGATGTGTTGTTGAGGCCCTATGATCCACTCGGAACCCAAGGGAATAATAATAATATAATAAGTGTATTCGGTGTGCCTACAGAGTGGCTGGAGTAGTATTTTTATTGTTTGCGTTAATTTTAAAATATTCTATCCGCAAGGAAAACTCTGAACTGTGTCCATAGAAGCTATTTGACCAGTTACTTTCACTACTTCGGCCTAAAACTTTACCTCTACATTAATTTGGTATGCATGTAATCCATTATTCATTCGTTTTTTCCTTCTTTCCTTTTAAAGTTCTAAATGTCTCTTACTCTTATGAACAATATTCCTGTTTCAAAGCATTTACTATTACGTCCCGATCCTACAGTTCGAAACTTAATAGCTTTTTGTCACATATCAGCCAGTGGTCTAAGTTAAATGGTCTTACGTTAAATCCCTCCAAATGTCAGGCAGTTAATTTCACCTGCAGATGCTTGTAGCATAGAGGGCATGGATATAGAGAATAAGTCAAGCATAAAATACCTTGGTATAGTTCTATCATCTAACCTTTCTTGGTCTCCCTATACCCTGTCTATTACTAAGAAAATGATGCGTCTAACCTTCTACATTAAGAAGTTAAGACAATCTGAAATTACTCAACCTTAACCATTACAGTTTGTTAACTCTTGCATCTTACCTATTGTTGTTTATTGCTGCCTTCCCCATTAGTCTTTCCTGGGCTACTCAAAAAGGATTATGTCATATTGAGAAGAGTATTAAGTCGTCAGTAGGGCATGTAGTGTGCCACTTAGTCAGCTTGTTACATCTGAACTCATGTGAGAATTAATCCAAATCCATATTTTATGACCCTCAACTTTTCCACTGCCTCTCATCTGGTTGAACTAGAAATTACTATAAAAGGTTATATGCTGGTGTGACTGAGTACGGAAAGTCAATGATACCATATATGGCCCGCATCCTATGTGCTTGAGACAATGTTAAGCGCGAAACCTGCGACTTACTCCGTTATTAGCAAAATAACTGGCTCTTTTATCCTCTCCTATTTGTAATCTACTATGACACTAACTTATAATTTTAGATATTAACATTATGATCATTATCTTGCTTTTTCTGTACATTTTCGATTTCATTGTCACTGCTAATACCAAAGCAGCTGCTATTGTCAATCCCGCAATATTGTTTTTTTTATAATTGTCTTTGCTGTTGTCGAGTAAATTAGATGCAAAATTGTACCGAATGCTGAAAATTCCATACTATATCATAAGTACTGTCTTGGAATAAAGCGAACTGTTACTATAATTGTTATCATTATTACTGTTTTTGAATGGTTGGTAATCATTTCTGAGCAATTTTATCACTTGATTTTTATAAATTACTTCATTAAGTTTCGCTATTTACTCATTATTTTTTCTAGCATGTAATTTCACATGTTTTGTTACTAAGAGATATTAACATTTGACCTTTTCATACATTTCAATGACTTTTTAAAAAACTACTACATAACTCTGTACAGCTTTGAAGTGAAGTAACAAGAAATCATATTCTTTTTTATTGGTCACTAGTCAGTAACTAGTGTAATGTGTCTGGTCTTATCTTTGGTGCACACTGAATTATTTCAGTCCAATTTCCAATATGGCCACCGTTCCGGGTGGCTCCTCATCACGGTGCACGTTGAACAGCTGATATTAGATAGTTGGAGACAATTGGCGGGAAGCCTTACACCTAGATTTTGGGCTAGTTGGCACTCATCGGTCAGCAAGGCTAATCTGCAACCTTGAAGGAACTCATTTCCCTTTTGAGATTCGAAACCGCGTTACCCAGTGTTGCAGTCAGAGACGTTATCACTGAGCTATTCGGGCTCACGATTGACTTCCTGTAGGACTGTATTAGATTGTTTTGATTAGACACTAGTTAGTAACTAGTGTAGGCCAAGTTAAACTTTAAGCACCACTAACTATCAATGGAGTGCGATCGCACCAGTGACCTTGAAACGCCTGCTGAGCAAATTAGTGAAACCACCATCAAAAAATATGCTCATCGGAGTGTTATTTTATTAAATGGGACATCTGGCAAGTTTCATCTTAGGTTTGAGAAAGATTAAGTTATGCTTTAAGCCAAGGTCAAGTTAGGGTTAGATTAACCTATTAAAGTCCTATCTTTGGTGCAGACTGAATTCTGTCATTCAAGACCAGACACATAACACTAGTTACTGACTAGTGTCCAACCAAAAATACCCAATGCCGTCCTACAGAAAGTCAATCACAAGCCCGAACAGCTCAGTGATAACGTCTCTGACTGGCGCACTGAGTGAAGTGGATTCGAACCTCAGAAGGGACATGAGTTCCTTCAAGGTTGCAGATACGCTTTGCTGAACGATGAGTGCCAACTAGCCCGAAACCCAGGTGTAAGGCTTCCTGCAGATTGCCTCCAACCATCTGATACCAAATACATCTTCTACTGACCTATGTGTGCCTTCTCACACTCCTATCGGCCCATTTTAAACACTTATCCACAGAGTGAATAAAAAGCTTCTGTGAACTAGTGAATTTAATAAGCATTTTCTGAAAAGACAAACTTTTTTCAAAGTTGGAGTTTCAATATATATATATATCTTTTCAGTATTATATTTTATACCGTTACATTTTTAAATCAACGACCTAAGTATTCAGTAAAATAAGACATACTATTCTTCCCTTTTTCTTTTTTTTTTCTGTCGTATTCTTCCTTTCCTGCTAGAAATTATAAAAATGAACTCAAATTCAGACTTCATATATATTCTGTCACTCAAATATTCGACTAAAAGTTGGGAGTGCATCATGCACAATGCCTTTTTGTGTGACCTTAACCAATAACAATTTTATGCTTTATTGCCCGTATACTTACTTAGATTAACATTCATATATTGATCCCCAGGCAGACAAATATTATTGGCTAGAATTTCAACCAATAAGAACTTCGCATATATATATATACATATAAAATTGGTCATAAAAACTACAGCCTATCAAAATTTCACATATGCATCAATTAATGTGGATGGATTACGCATACTTATCGTCTAAACTCATAAGCTGTCGGTTTTGTCTATCATGGTATGTTTTAGAATGTATTCATTGTGTGATTTTTTTCTGTTTTCAAAAGACTGAGTGTAGGGAACAAAGGGTATTGTTTTCGATAACTTCATCAGGTTCTACTGTTAAATGCCCATAATAATTAGAGAATTATTTTTATAAATAACATTAATGTTTTAAATTACATTCAATCAATAGTTTTGATAGATTACATTTCAAGAGCTCGTGTAAATGATAATATGCATCAGTATAACACTAAACTGAACATCAGATAAATTATAGAAGGTAATACAGAATTTATGAATTCATAGTTTCCACAGCAGGCCAGGGTAGCTACAATGTCTGACAGAACATGTTTCTTTCGCTCACAGAGCTTCGATTGTTTTGAGCGAAATACAATAGTTTCTGACGTTCAGCGTGTTCGGTATCTAGAGGCACTTGGTAATTTTTATTTGACGTCCAAAAAATGATAGAGAAAGACTGTTCACTGGTAGCTGGCTTTGTTGCTTGTTTGGACGAGATGATCTAGTATAGAACTGTTGATGGTTTGAACGACACCTTTATTTAGCCGCATACTCCTAGGAGTTCCCGAGCAAGAGAAATTAAAATCCAACAGCAACGATCAATTTAACTGGCACCACAGGAACACTTGAATTGACAGATACAATAAGAGGAGGTAGCCAGCCCAGGTTCTGCGTCTTTCAGTTTCGAAATCAAAACCGTGGTCTTGTGGAAAATATAAGTTGTAGCTTACCAACACTAAACTATTTTTGAACAGATTTTCTCAACTTGTTGGGACATCACCTTTGAATTGTAGTTCTATATATATATATATATATATATATATATATATATATATATATATATATATATATATATATATATAAAACCATCGTGTTGACAGATACAGAACAACTCTTTTCTACTCCTCTCTTGACCATGTGTTTTTGGTGATGAACTTTTGAGGGGAATTGTTTTCAATTAATGTATCATATATGTCCGTTAAGTTCATCTTCTGAACAAATAACTGCAACACTATACCCTTGGGTTGTTTACCAAATTTTTTTGTAAAAATTCACTTATTCAAGTGTTGGTTTGTAGGGATTTGATTGGTTATAGGATTTTCATCATGAGCTGACAATAGTTAGAGAACCACTGGAAAACCTGGGAGTACCGGACAGCCGTTTCATCCTGGTTTGGGACTCCTCAGCAGTACACACCCACCCACTTATTCATTATCACTACTGTATTAAAAAGACTCATTTCATTTATAAATTATAGCACAATATTAGATATTTCGAATAACTTACGATTATTTTATTTCATATTTAATTTTAGATGAGCTGGAAAATTAATAATAACATGTTCATATCACAGAATATATTTTCATAACTATAAATATGTCATTCAAAAAGAATACAACAATTTATAATCCTGATGATAAGTTAACAATGATGAATGAACAACCCTGTGGGGAGTTAAGAGAGAGAACAACCTCACAAAACTATAAACAGCAACAACAACAACAAAGCATTTTACACAGTACATATGAAGTGATACATGATGATGGTGATAAATTGAGTCAACAATTACGAAATGATGATATAGAAATAATTAGTCCTGAAACACATCCTGAATATTTTGTCCCTGTAGCACCAGATGGTGGTTGGTCATGGATTGTTTTATTTGCAACATTTTTTAATTATTTTACAATTGATGGAATATTCTTTTCTGTTGGTCTTTTAATGGTTGAATGGACTGATCATTTTGGTGCTTCAAAAACTAAAGTTTCTTTAATTAGTTCATTAATGTTAGGATGTTATCAAATGATTGGTGAGTCAAATTTGTTTCATTATAAAAAGCAAGTTTTTATAAATATTAAACAATGATCATTGATTATTTGCTCATCTCTGTTGTGCGTCGGTGGCACAGCGGTTAGGACTCTCGCCGACCATACACATGGTCCGGCGTTTGATCCCCTGCCGACGCACACCTGAAACCAATGGTTGGCCTGAAAAATTTGGGCTACCAATATCACATGCTGAAAATTTCATCCTTGTACTAAAAGTGCTGTGTGGAATCAAGCTATAATCAAAAATATTTTAAAAAATATAAAATATAATGACAGTCTTTGTAATGCCTGTTAGTTCAGCATCTCATTTATGTTCTAAGACTTATATATTTATTTTTATAGAATAGCACATTTTGACTGCTATGTCAGAAATATGTTTATTGCTCATAATCACACCAAGGTACTCATAAGACTTTCCAACTTCGTTTATATACATAAGTAACAATGATGAAACATAAGTGTAAATGTATCTGTAGTGCTGTTGATAAGCTACACGTTGCTAGTCCTTACTAAACGTCATTTACGTAGTTTTTAAATAATTCAGTACTCCACCTAACCTGTAAGTACTGACGATAAACACAAATTAAAAAGACGTAGTAGAAATTGAAAATGTGCTCTGGTTAACAGTATATTTGAGTAAAATAAAGGGTCAAGATTATCCAGGGAAAAAGATTTAGAACTTGTTTATTACAAATTCAAAGAATGCGCATCTGAACAGAAAAACGGAAAAGAGCAAAACAGCACTGGAGTCAATCTGAATGTGTACACATTATAACGAAGTCTAAGAACATTGGAACTTGAACTACAGAGTACCCACCTCTTATAAGGTTGGTGGGTAACCTTTTATTCTAAAAGGCGACTGTGAGATAGATACTGATTCGATGAGGAGAATGTACAAAGTAGGAAACTGGTAGAGCTGGAACTGTTGCACTATCCATATGGCGTCATCAGAGACCGATTGCATCCAATTTTCGGGATTCTTTTGTTACACTCTACAGAGAAAGATAATGTTAGCACGGGCGAAATTGCACTATATATATATAAGTGAATAAGTAAAAGTCAATATAAAGTACAGCAGATATGCGTGAAACAGTTTGTATAAAAATAAAGTACATTCGGAAATGAGATGAGTGTTATCAATAAAATAAGATAAAAATAAATAAAATGTTAAAGTATGATAACGCAAATTAAAAGTAAACAAAAACAGAACTGAACATTGTTTCTTATCCTTTGATTTGATTGGTAGTAATATATTTAATATCTCTGTGTAGATTCGATAAACGAAGATTCAGTAATCAACCTCTCTCCACCTGTCCATATTACCTTTTACAATTTTAACTCTGTTCCAGGCTATTGTGTAGTTTTGTGTTAATGAATGCATTGCAATTGCTCAGTTTTCCTCTAAATTATTCTCTAGGTCAATCCTTCTTAGTTAAATGTCTAACAAATCGAGCAATAACACTAGGTAGTACATCAAAAAATCTAAATGATAAAATGGGAAAGATAGATGAAGCATTGATGTTAGACAACTATCTCATAAAATTCATTAAGATGACTACAAAAGCCCAAAAGAAAAAGAAAAATAATAGTGAAGCTAGTAACGGTAACATAAATAAGAAAGAATTTAAGGGACATCTGAAACCCTAATTAGGACGTAACAGAGGGGTAATCAGAGTATAGTATGTCCCAGGTTTGCTGACTGTAATCTGATACAATATACTTAGCCGAAGAAATGCATACACCTTATCTAAAATTCTCAATTTGTAATGTACATGGAAAAAATTGAGAAGTTGTGTAAGTACCTTGATGTGCCTATGAGCAGTAAATTGTGCTCGAAACGTCATCAGTAGATAATACTGTGTAACATTAAGAAACTATCAAATAAATTTATTCTATGATGGAATTATACTCTACCTCAGTGCTCAAGTTCTCTTCATATATATTCTTCCCTTGGCTAAATAACTCGATTTTATATTAAAATATTTTTTTTAAACACACTTGGACACTACACTCAAGTTCGTGATGTAGAGTAACAGATATTATTTTATATGTATCATTGTAATACTGCTTACATGTAATGAAACCATTGTATGAATTCTACCAAAATTGGGATTACAGATAGAAAGTAGAAATAATAGAGAAGTTTTGTAGCTCAGGTGTGTGCTGTTGATGTGGTTACGTTCTCCTATCTGAGTGGTGAAAATGGCAAAGCTCTCATTGCCCATCTAGACAACATCTTCAACACGGACAAATAGATGCCCTTTAATACTTGTTTAATCTAATTTTGATTGGCTGCTGTTTACCCGTCGCTCAAGTGGTCTAGTGAATAACAACACTTCAGCGTTTGCAACGATGGATACTGGGAGCATCATCCCTTACTCACTGAGGTTGCAGGCACATACAGTTGACAAGTCTCGAACAGGACGAAATGTGCCTCCTAAATTCCACTGCTAGTCACCATCCAATAAATGTTTGAATATCGGAATAAATCTTTATCTAAGATTTTATCTTTTATTTCTTTCGAAGCTCAATAGTTAATTCTTGGGTATCTTCCCTCTGCGAAACATCTCTCATTTTCCTAATTACAATCGAGTAAAGATAGCATTTAAATATTTGAGTAGAAAAGGAGTCTTTATACTTGTTTCGCTGAAATGAAAATTATTAATATTAAACTTATGCGAACATAAGTAATACTGAGTTGAATTGTTCGGCTCTTTTAAAAAAACACAATCGAATATTCTGTTTAAGTAGGAATCATTGACATAAGGCATTTCTTTTAATTTCTGAGTTGTTATTTTATGTTACAGGACCTATAGCTGCAGCATTGACAAATAAATTTGGTTGTCGACCTGTGGCTCTGTTTGGATCTTGCTTGGCATCCGTATCGATCTTTGTTAGTGCTTTAATGCCTAATGTGGAAATGTTAACTGTAACTTTTGGAATAATAGCTGGTTAGTTAATATCTGTTTTACTTCAGTGTATCATGCCTTTTGATGAATAGTTACTGACAAGTTTAGTTTTGCAGGCAGTTATTATAGTCGGCTTTGTTTTTATTAACAATTGTATTTGCCCGAAGGAAGTCAGAAACTGTGGTATAGATGAATGAAATGTGTATTAAGTCAGTTATTAACTGTTTAATTGTTAAATAAGATTCTGAGACTGGGGATTTTAATTTCAATCAGCATATCCCACGATTTGAAATTCACCCCACATAATTGAGTATGTGTCTTAGCCTCTAATATTGCTAAGCGAAACTGTATGAACAGTATGTAAGGAAATTTTCATCCAATAACTGCACTGTACTATTTGAAGACAGAGGTGATGAAGGTAACCAGTCAACAACAACAAAAACCTACCACTGTCAATGGAAGAAATTTTTTAAACGAAGTTATTTCATTCACTTATTTCAGCAGGCATTGTTTCATCAACTACGGTTCGAAAAGCAATACAGACCTTTGCTGAACTGAAATGAGCCTGGAAACCTTCTGCACTTAGGCATAAATAACAAGATTCTCATTTTCTACTCTAATGTCAAGATACTCAATGCTTCTATGTATGTTTCACAGATTTGGCATGTCATCAAAATCATTTCCAACAGTTGTCTTTGCTGGATCGTTATTAAAATGCAGATGGTTAAAAAGCATAAGCAACACGGAGCTCTGAAAAAAACAACTTACAAATCAATAACCAATGAATATGGAGTGACCTAACATGCTAGTTAGGCCCTCAAGGGAAATCTGAATAGGAAACAGTGAGTTGGATATGCGTCCCAAAAAAATTTGATAGCCTTTAGACGGTCGTGGAAGAGGATTGGAGATAACAGGATTATTTTTGGAGGTATTCTGCTGCAGCCCTATGTTTCACTGATAACCAGAGGGAATACTAATAAATAATACTCAAGTATTGGTTTGTAGGGATTTGATTGGTTGGTTACAGGATATTTTCATGAGCTGACATCGGTAAGGGGACCATTGTAAAGCCTCAGAGTACTGGACAGATGTTTTGTCGTAGTTTGGGACTCTTCAACTGTGCGCACCAATCGGGTTTGAACTCAGGACCTTCTGGTTACAAGGTGAGCTCGTAGACCGTCAGGCCACTGCGAACCGATACAATGGCCAGCTCATGAATTCTAACTTCTACAAATTCACGACAGAGCGCTACCTCGGTGGGTGAGTGCTGATGAAGAATCCCAAACTGGGACGAAACAGCTGCCCAGTACTCTTAGGCTTTCCAATAGTCTCCTTAACGATGTCAGCTCATGATTAAATCCTGTAACCAATAAATATTACCATTTGGTTGCGTTTTAGGCTTAACTGTATCATGCACATTACTCAGTAGTTGAAATACTCGGGATAATTGTATCCAAAAAGTTATACTTTTGAATAGTATAGTAGCATGCCGGATACTGTGACTGGTTTTGTTTACTACAGATAAGTACTACACAGCATAGAAACAAATAAGCAGGACTTTTATGCACTAATCACTGATGCATTGTTCAATATTTTTCAAATGTTTCCGCATAGTATGTTCTTTCTGTAAAAGATAAGTGTACTTAGCCATGATTTATTCTCTAATGTCCTAAGCTGATAAATTGACTGTAGGAATTCATGAGAAACAGTGTAAATTAATTGTACTAAAAAAGACTAGGTATATATTAAGACCCCAACATCCTCGCAAAAATTATTCTTGATATTTCTTAATATTCATTTAATACTACCATAGAAGTTAAGAAGAAATTCTTCTCAGCCTGAAATACTAAAGGAAAGAATTCAACAGATTGATCACGGACTGATATCGGTTAGAGAACTATTGGAAACCAGGTAGGAGCTCTGGGTACCTATTTCATCGTAGTTTGTGACTGACTCTCTTCACGGGAGATCGAACCGAGGACCTGCATGTTACGTGACCAAGGTCGTTAACCATCCAGTCACTTGGATTGCCTGGTTCATGAATTCTAATGCCTACCAATTCGCTATTTAACGCCAGCGCCACCACTCAATGTCGTCGACGAGTATATTTTTATTCACACCCGATCTGGTAGACCCTACTGATCACGCGCTTCTGACTGGAACTCTGGGGAACTTCCTTCTTCAGTCAGTCACTAGTGAGCATCAAATTAATTTTCAAGAGTTAGTTTGTAGGGATTTGATTGATTTCACGTTTGATCAGAGATTGATATCAGTCAGAGAACCGGAAGGTCCTAGTTTCGAACCCCTCTGGTCGCGTACTGCCAATGAGTGACAAACTAGTATGTAAAAAGTGTCTAGTACTATTACCTGGTTTCCAATGGCTCTCAAATTAATACCGATCCGTGGTCAAATTTGAAACTCGCATTTTTCGCTGAACACAGTTCTTCCTTTAAAACGGTAAGGAATACAAGAATAAAATACGTAGGGAATACATTGATAGTCTATACAGGCCATACAATGAAATTGTGATTCTACTCGCAACTTTGATAATTACCTGAGACGATTCATGTCTCATTGTTTCAAACACCCTCCTTTCAACCAATGGCTTCTTGGTTCGAATCTAACTCTGCTTAAATCACTTTGATGGAGTTGATGGTAGTGGAAGCCTGCTAAGTGTTAGGGATAATCCGAAAAGAAACTTTTTGAAAGATAGTTACAAACGGCAGGTGATTTCTGTTCCGGATTTATTTTATTTAAAGCAAAAGCAATATGGGCACTAAGAGATGCGCCACACAATTTTAATAAGACAACTATGTATAAAAGAAATAGAAAGAGAACAAATGAGCGTCATTATGCAGAGAGCAAGCAAGCATGTTTGTCAAGATCGTTCGAAATTCATTACTTCATGGTACTTTCAGAAAGGAACGAAAGAATTAAATTGCAACATGTTCGTTATTAATTAAGCGATTGATAACATTTCGAGCCAAAGATTCAAACAGTTTTTCGGACCCCATGACGCCACGTCATAGGCTGATCAAACTTGAAATCAGTCAAATCCCTACAAACTAACTCTTGAAAATTAATTTGATGCTCACTAGTGACTGACTGAAGAGTTCTAGTCAGAAGGCGCGATCAATGGGTTCCACCCAGTCGGGAGAGAGGACAAATACTTGTCGATGACAGTGGCTATAGGCCGTACTAATATCATTCATTGGTAGAAAATCGAATTCATGGGGTGACCGCTGAGTCGGGTCCCAGTGGATGAATGACCTACGAGCTTGACTTGTAACCTGAAGGCCATGTTTTTGAACCTCGGTGGTCACATACTGGGACAGAACAGTTGTCCAGTACTCCCTAGTAGTTTTCAATGGTTCTCTAACTGATATTGATCTGTGGTCAAACTGAAAACAAATGGAATCCCTACGAACTAACTCTTGGAAATGTGAGTTGTATGTATGAAGAACATAAAAGTTAACCAGTGTTTATGGAACAATAAATTATGTAATACTTTCGTTCGTATGTGTGTGTGTGCGTCAACACATTTGATGTTTCTTGTTGACTTCTGTTGTAAAACTAATAAATGAATTAATTCTTCAATTTTTTTTCACCTTGAACGACAGTATATATCGTTAGCTATTCTTTTCTACTTTTTATTACAGGTAGTGCATTTGGATTGGTGTATTTACCATCGTTAATTGCTGTTAGCTTTTACTTTAATAAAAAACGTGAAATCGCCAATGGAATAGCTGTGACAGGAACACCATTGGGTGCTGTAATATTTGCACCTTTAGCAAGTTTCTTAATTAATGTAAGTTGTTGTTTTTATTAACCTTAGTTTGATATTTTTCACGTGTGTGAGGGCAGTACATATGCATTTTTCCCCTTATTTTTTTCATTCCTTTGAGTTCTTATGGGAACATAAGACTTCAAACTTGAGTTTTGAAGTTTCAGTAGTGATGGTGCAATTTTTTACAGGGTAAAGTTGCAAGCCTCACGCTCATCCCTCCTTCTTTACCAGCTAAATGGGGTTTAAGAGTACGTCGGCGTGAATCAAACCTTGGGCTCCCACGCGATTAGTGATCATCCTATCGTTTGAACAATGAAGGCGGTAAATATGCATAATAGTGTTTGAATAAACGAAACAGTTCTAGCCTGTCATACTTATTCTGCAGTTTACTGATTTAAGTGAATATTCATATTCATAAGAAGTAATAACTAAGAGAATTTTACTGGATATCGGCTGGGAGATCGCTGTGAAACCACTTGGGGTACTGGACAGCTGTTTCATCCTAGTTGGTGAGTCTTCAGCAGTATGCATTCCTTGGGGTTAGAACCCCAAGACCTTCCGGTTACAAGACGAGCTTGTGGACCATTCAGCCATTGGGGCCCGATTCAATGGCCGCTGCATGAATTCCAACTTCTACTAACTCGCGATACACACAAAGCACCCTCCAGTGTCATGGGCAAATAACTTTGTTCTCTCGCCTGACTTGATGGACCACCCTGTCCATTACTTCTCACTAAGACTCCAGGTAACTTCATGTATAAAATCAGTCGCTATTCAACATTAGATTAATTATCAAGTGTCGGCTTGCAGGGATTTGATTGGTTGCAAGATTGGTCACTTGGCGACATCAGTTAGAGAGAATTACTGGAAAATTTTGTTTGAAAAGAATCATTTTTCAGGATCTGTTCTGTGATATTTATGTCTAACATGAGATTTATTAGAGGCAATCGAATAAGTGTACCGCATTCTAGGAAATATTTAAAATGATAGGTGACAAAGCCTAGGTGAAAATGGTTATTAAGTGGAAATTAATAAACGGAATATGGCGTGACAAGAATATGACCTAGTTAGAGTATATGGTCAAGAAATTTGAAGAAGAGAGTGAAAAAGTTTGTATTGTTTGGTTGAGAAATGTAGAAAAAGTCCAAAGTCCTTTTTCATGATATTAGGGGACCCTGTAGATTACATTTTAATAGTCGTATAAAGAGGCTAGTCGCTCAGGGTTGGCAAGGCTTATGTGAATAGAACCACTGACGTTCGTTTTTCTCTTTTGGTTGATAATGTTTCACAAAACCCTCTTAGGAGCTTGACCCTGCATACTGCCGATGTACATTTTTTTCACAGAAAAAGATAGAAAAACCAGTAGATCCATAATGATATGTGAACAGAACTTGTGCACTGTGGTAGAGTATAATTGCATTATGGATAAAATTTATTTTGATAAAACTTCACAGTGTTATACAGTAGTAGTTACTGATGACGTTTCGAGCACAATTTATTGCCACTCGCTATCATATCAAGGTACTCGCACGTGTGAGTTTAACACTGTGAGACTTTATCAAAATAAATTTTACCCATAATAGATCCATAATGGGTTAGCGAAGGGTTCTATTTTGTCCTAAAATCGGTGATGTATGAACTGTCTACTGAAGAATGTAGTTCTGCAGGATAGTTCATTGAAATTTCCTCCTTACAGATCTGGAGAGACGGTTTTCAATTATTTTTTATTTTATTTGGAAATCTAAAATGTGGGGAGTTTTTTCTTTTCATTTTTTGAACTATTCACTTTTTCGAATCGATTTTTAAAACTTAATCACACTAAATAGCTCAAATTGATTTCCCACTTTTTTCGTTATGTTAAATATTTTAATCTTCTGCAAGTCTCTTATATTATGATTTCATTCTAATATTTAAATTCATAAATGTATATGCTGTTTTTGAATGAACTAACAACTGTACCCACCTTTGTTACAGTAACAGTAGTCGGTCAGTCGGTTTTCGACATAGAACTCTTCACAGATGTGTGGCAGTTCAAGTCGCCGCACTCCATGTAGCACACAAAGCAAGAGAAGAAAGTAGGAGAAATGCATAATATAGACAGTAAACAGAGGTGTGAGACAAAGGAATAGTAATAACGAAGAACAAAACAGTTTAGTTGGAAATCATAAGTCACAAGGAGTGGATGCATCTGCGCCACTGAGAACGATTTTGAGCCATGTCACCAATTGTTTCCAACCATTGGTTTTTACCGTCCCGAGGACCCTAACCAGGAAGTCTACACCTTCCTACGTGGCTTAGACTAACTGTTGTAGATTTCATTAACTGGTGCCATGTTTTGGTTTGACCGCCGCTAGCTCTTTTCCAGCCTGACCCTAAATCAGCTAACATTGCCCATTGTCGAGGAAGGCGATGACTAGGCATACGTAGCACATGTCCTAACCATCTCAGTCGATGTAATTTCACAGTCTCGTCGACTGATTTCCCCACCTTACCTAGCACTCGACGCCTAAGCACTGCCCACACACTTCCAAAAGCACACGAAGCCTACAGTAACAGTAACATTCCATACGCTTGTTCTTCGTCGGTTACATGAGGGTAGGATGCTCTCCGACTATGCCTGTGATCCGGGGTTTGATCCCTGGCCACTAACGCACTCCCAGACCTCGCTAAACCAGTAATAAGACTGGTAAGGAGGGAAGGTTAGGCGTGAGGCTGGCAACCCCCTCCCATAAAAATAAACACCAGCCTCTAGCTTGAAGCCCTATGTTCCACTGGGAAGGTAAAGGAATAAAAAAACTTGTTTTTAATATATATATATATATCATAGTTTTTAGAATATATTTGGAAATATAAAATGGCCTTAACTCTATATAAGTAAACTTGTTATAAAGATGATTGACTAACTAACCTATTATAAGTGTTGAACTTTGCACGAAAGTACATTTGTTGTTCAAGCTTTATAATTCTCCTTGTGCATTAAAATGCACCTGAAGGCATCAAGTGAACAGTATTCTCTAGAGTGCAAGATGTAGAGAATAGGTCATTTAATTTATATTATGAACTTAAAAGATTGTGAGTTATTATAATACATAAATCAAATTCATATTTGTGTATCAACAAAGTATTATCTCTAGTCTTCATACATTGACAACAACTGCTTCACAAAGTGGATTGTTATTATGTAGACAGTTGCAGCGAAGAAAATTTTCTTTTCGACGAAGTCATCATCTAGGCTGTACATTCGTGTATTTATATCAAATGGATGGGAAAGTTCCAGAATAATTTTCGTTTAAGGGTCAAATCATTAAAATTACAATTAGGAATTAAAATGACATTATAAACAGCGAGGAGGGACGGATAAAACTCAAACAAAGCAGAATCATAATTACTGAGAGTTTTATCCGTCCCTCCTCCCTGTTTATTATGTCATTTTAATTCCTAATTGTAATTTTATTAATTTGACCCTTAACGGAAAATTATTCTGGAACTTTCCCATCCATTTGATATAAATACACGAATGTACAGCCTAGATGATGACTTCGTCGAAAAGAAAATTTTCTTCGCTGCAACTGTCTTCTTAATAACTCCTATGACCCAAAGTGGATAGTGTTTAGAAATCCTTGATTCTTCCGAACATTCAATAAACTTTATTACAGACAAATCGATAGTATTACCATGGGTCCTCCATTGGGTCCAATTTATGCAGATTTCTTTCTTGCTAAGCTTGAAAATAGTCCATTGAAACAAGTAATCGATAAAATGGATTATTTTCTTTAAGTTGATAATACGTTTATTATTTTTTGCTAAAAAAGCCAATAAGAAGGAAATGTAAATATCTATCTCTCATGTTCACTCGTGAAGAAAAACATGATGGTAGGTAACACTTCCTTGATGTCCAGTTGCGTAGAAGCGAGGATAATTGACTTAAGAGAGATATCTATAGAAAACCTACGTCTGTAGGACAATATACACAATTCTTCAATTTTGTACCTATCTGATACAAAATCAGTTTGGTCAGATACCTCATGAATAGAGCATGAAAGATCTGTATATATGACTACCTAGAAAATGAATTAGAATACATCCAAAATACGCTTGTCCAAATGGTTTATCCTAGTATATTTTTATGGAGACATATGAACACCATGTATACTAAAGAGAAATACACAGCGGTTAAAAAGAAACAATTGTTGCTGAAACTGCAATTCAATGGGGACGTGGTTAGTGAACTATATCTAAGATTATCCTTTATTTGTCATTTTCCAGCCAACCAATCATGATCGCTCAAGCGAAAGATAAGCTGCATAGCTGTGTCACTTCTTTGTGCATTTGTAGATCTAGCGGTTTCTGAAGAGAAAACTATATAGGGCCGACAATTAGACAGCTCAGAAAACGCATTACTGAGCATCTTCCTTCATAGTTCGGAAAAGGTTAAGTAAAATCCATAAGAAGTTCTATTTTGTCTCATTTGACTAATAGTGGTCACCAAGTGGACAGAAGAAATGCCTTCAAAGTTATCTATCGCATTCAGTCAAATCTTTCAAATGGAATTCGAACCCACCTTTTACACATAGTCGAAGCTGTAGGAATTCGAGAGAACAATCCTAGTCTTTGCCTACAAAAGAAGTTTGTTCTACCTTTGCCTCTCCCTTGGCCTAGGTAAATTTTAATTAAAATCCCCCAACTCTTTCTTACTTTTATGATATTTATTTAAACTCTAAAGATCTGTCAAATTGTTCTTTAGTATTACGTAACTTTGGAGATATGATGTAACGTTTCTCCAAGAGTTGGTTTGTAGAAATTTGTTTTGTTTTAAGTTTGATAAAGGACTGATATCAGTTAGACTCAAATGAGTCGGGTGCCAGTGGTTGAATGGTTTGCGAGCTTGTTTTGTAACTGGAAGGTCCTGAGTTTGAAACCCGCTAGGATCATATTGTCGATGAGTCCCAAACTAGGATGCGACATCTATCCAGTACTCCCATCTGGTTTTCAATGGTTCTCTAATTAATTCATTTATTGAA